GGCCCGCATCAGGCTCTCTGCTCAGTGAGAAGCCTGCTTCTCCCTCTCCCACTCCCTCTGCTTGTGTTCCTTCTCTTGCTGTCTCTCTCTCTCTCTCTGTCAAATAAATAAATAAATAAATCTTAAAAAGGGGGGGGGCAGAAAGACAAAAGTCTCTAACTTACAAGGGAAGACCCATAGAGCAAGCAGGATATTTTTCAAAAGAAACTTGGCAAGCCAGAAGAGAGTGGCATGATATATTCTAAGTACTGAATGGGAAAAATCTGCAGCCAGAATATTCTATCCAGCAAGGTTATCATTCAAAATAGAAGGAGAGATAAAGAGTTTCCCAGAGAAACAAAAACCAAAGGAGCTCATAACCACTAAACCAGCCCTTCAAGAAATATCAAAAGGGACTCTTTGAGTGGAAAAATCTCCAGAAACACCAACTTTATAGGTAATACAATAACACTAAATTCATATCTATCAAAAATTACTCTGAATAGACATAGACTAAACACTCCAATCAAAAGACAAAGGGTGTCAGAATGGATATAAAAACAAGACTCATCTACATGCTGCCTACAAGAGACTCATTTTAGAACTAAGACACCTGCAGATTGAAAGTGAGGGGATGGAGAAATACTTACCATGCAAATGGAGGTCGAAAGAAAGCTGGAGTAGCAATATTTATGAAACAAATTAGATTTTAAACCAAAGACTGTAACAAGAGATGAAGAAGGAAATAATAAAGGGGACTATCCAACAAGAAGATCTAACAATTGCAAATATTTATGCCCCCAAGATGGGAGCACCCAAATATATAAAATAATTAATAACAAACATAAAGGAACTAATTGATAATAATACAATAATAATAGGGAACTTTAACACCCCATTTACATCAATGGACAGATCATCTAAGCAGAAAATCAACAAGGAAACAATGGCTTTGAATGACATACTAGACCAGATGGACTTAAGTTATATTCAGAACATTCCATCCCAAAGCAGTAAAGTACACATTCTTTTTGAGTGTACATGGGACATTCTCCAGAATAGATCACATACTAGGTCACAAATCAGGCCTCAACAAGTACAAAAAGATTGAGATCATACCATGCATATCTTCTAACTACAATGCTATAAAACTTGAAGGCCACGACAAGAAAAAATTTGGAAAGACCACAAATACATGGAGGTTAAACAATATGCTCCTAAACGATGAATGGGTCAACCAGGAAATCAAGAAGAAATAAAAAAAATTTGTGGAAACAAATGAAAATGAAACCACAATGGTCCAAAACATTTGGGATGCAGCCAAAGTGGTCCTAAGAGAGAAGTATATAATAATACAGGCCTACTTCAAGAAGCAAGAAAAATCTCAAATAAACAAACTACCTTACACCTAAACAAGCTAGAAAAAGAACAACAAATGAAGCCTAAAGCCAGCAGAAGGAGGGAAATAATAAAGATTAGAGCAGAAACAAATGCTATAGAAACTAAAAAAAAAAAAACAATAGAACAGATCATTGAAACTAGGAGCTGGTTCTTTGAAAAATTTAATAAAATTGATAAACCCCTAGCCAAACTTATGAAAAAGAAAAGAGAAAGGACCCAAATAAATAAAATCACAAATGAGAGCAGAAATAATCACCACCACCACAAAAATACAAACAAGTATAAGGGAATATTATGAAAAACTGTATGCCAATAAGCCTGGAAGAAACGAATAAATTCCTAAAAATGTATAAACATACAAACTACCAAAATTGAAACAGTAAGAAATATAAGATTGAACAAACCAATGACCAGCAAAGAAATTGAATCAGTAATAAAAAATCTCCCAAGAAATAAAAGTCCAGGGCCAGATGGCTTCAAATACAAATTCTACCAAACATTTAAAGAAGAATTCATACCTATTCTTCTCAAATTATTCCAAAAAATAGAAAAGGAAGGAAAAATTCCAAATTAATTCTATGAGGCCAGCATTACTCTGGTACCAAAACTAGATAAAGACTCCAATAACAAAGAAAACTGCAGGCCAATATCCCTGATGAACAAGGATACAAAAATTCTCAATAAAATAGTAACAAACAAAATCCAATAGCACATTAAAAAATCATTCACCAAAATCAAGGGGATTTATTCCTGGGCTGCAAGCGTGGTTCAATATTCACAAATCAATCAATGTGATACAGCACATTAACAAAAGAAAGGATAAAACATATGATCCTTTAAATAAATGCAGAAAAAGCATTTGACAAAGTACAACATCCATTCTAAAAACGCTCAACATCATAAAAGCCATATATGAAAAACCCACAGCTAATATCATCCTTAATGGGGAAGAAATGAGAGCTTTTCTTCTACAGTCAGGAACAAAACAGGCATGTCCACTCTCACCACTGTTATTTAACATAGTACTGGAAATCCTAGCTACAGAAATCAGACAACAAAAAGAAATAAAAGTATCCAAATCAGCAAGGAAGAAATCACATTTCACTATTGGCAGATGACATGATACTCTATACAGAAAATCCGAAGACTACAGCAAAAAAAAATGCTAGAACTGATACACGAATTCAGTAAAGTTTCAGGATACAAAATCAACATACAGAAATCTGTTGCATTTCTACACACCAGTAATGAAGCAGCAGAAAGAGAAATCAAGGAATCAATCCAATTTGCAACTGCATCAAAAACCATAAGATACCTAGGAATAAACCTAACCAAAGAGGTAAGAGATCTATACTCTGAAAACTAAAACACTGATGAAAGAAATTGAACATGACACAAAGAAATGGAAAGACATGCCATGCTCATGGATAGGAAGAACATTGTTAAAATGTCTATATTACCCAAATTCTACACATTTAATGCAATTCCTATCAAAATACCAATAGTATTTTTCACAGAGCTAAAACAAACAATCCTAAAATTTGTATGGAACCACAAAAGATTCCAAATAGCCAAAGCAACCTTGAAAAAGAAAAGTAAAGCTGGAGGCATCACAATTCCAGACTTCAAGTTATATTACAAAGCTGTAGTGATCAAGACAGTATGGTACTGGCTCAAAAACAGGCAAATAGATCAATGGCACAGAACAGAAAACCCAGAGATGGACCCAAAACTACACACATTCAATTAATCTTCAACAAAGCAGGAAAGAATATCCAATGGAAAAAAAGACAGTCTTCTCAACAAATGGTGTTGGGAAAACTGGACAGCAACATACAAAAGAATGAAACTGGAGTACTTTCTTATACCATACACAAAAGGAGTAAAGGATTAGGATTAAAGACTGAATGTGAGACAGGAAACCATCGAAATCCTAGAGGAGAACACAGCCAATAACCTCTTTGACATCAGCTGTAGCAACTTCTTACTAGGTATATCTCCTGAAGCAAGAGAAACAAAAGCAAAAATAAACTATTGGGACATCAAAATAAAAAGCTTCTGCACAGAGAAGGAAACAATCAACAAAACTAAAAAGTAATCTTTGGAATGGGAGAAGATATTTTCAAATGACATATCTGATGAGGGGTTTAGTATCCAAAAAAATATAAAGAAAACATAAAACTCAAAACCCAAAATACAAATAATCCAGTTAACAAATGGGCAGAAGACATGAATAGATATTTTTCCAAAGAAGATATCCAGATGGCCAACAGACACCTAAAAACATGCTCAACATCACTCATCATCAGGGAAATGCAAATCAAAACTACAATGCGATATCACCACGCATGTGTCAGAATAGCTAAAATTAACAACCGAGGAAACAACAAGTGTTGGCAGGATATGGAGAAAGGGGAACCCTCTTGCAGTGTTGGTAGGAATGCAAATTGGTATAGCCACTCTGGAAAACAGTATGGAGGTTCCTTAGAAAGTTAAAAATAGAACTACCCTACTATCCAGCAATTGCACTACTAGGCATTTACCCAAAAATACAAAAATAATAATTCAAAGGGATACATGCACCCAGATTATCAACCAACAGCCAAATTATGGAAAGAGCCCAAATGTCCATTGACTGTTGAATGGATAAAAAAGACGTGATGTGTATACACACACACACACACATACATACATACATACATACATACAAACATACACACATACATACGGACATACACACATACACACAATGGAATATTACTCAGCCATGAAAAAGAATGAATTCCAGTCATTTGCAATGACATGGATGGAACTAGAGAATATTATGCTAAGCCAAATAAGTCAGAGAGGGGCACCTGGATGGCTCAGTCGGTTAAACATAGGCCTTCAGCTCAGGTCATGATCCCAGGGTCCTGAGATTGAGCCCCACATAGTTAACCCCATATCGAGGCTGTTTCTCCCTCTCCCTCTACTTGTGCTCTCTCACTCTCTCTCTCAAATAAATAAATAAAATCTTTAAAACAAAATAAGAGAAAGACAAATACCATATGATTTCACTCATATGTGGAATTTAGGAAACAAACGATCATAGGGGAAAAAAGAGGAAAACCAAGAAACAGACTCAGCTATAGTGAACAAATTGAGGGTTACCAGTAAGGAGGTGGGTGGGGGAATGGGTTAAGCAGGTGATGGTGATTAAGGAGTGCACTTATTATGATGAGCACTGGGTGTTGTATGTAAGGGTTGAATCAGTAAATTGTACACCTGAAGCTAATATTAATACACCGTATGTTAACTGGAATTTTTTAAGACTTAAAAAGAAATAAAATATATTTGAAAACTCTAATTTATTGAATTTTAATAAATAAATATTTGGCCTAGAAATGTCTTTTGGAATGTTTAAATTTTATGTCCATTTTTTCGTAGCATTTTTTGGGGTTTAATAGCTAATATGGTAATTTAGAAAATAGCATTATTTTATTTTTTTAAAGCACAGCTATTAACTATTATTAATATCAAAAACATATTATAAAACATTTAAATATATCTTTAATTTCTATCCTACAATAATAAGGTTTTTTAGGTATTCTACCATTTTCAGACACTAAAATTGAACTAACCTCAGTATTCTTCAGCTTTTGTAATTCATTTTCCAGCCTCAATTTCTCCTTTAATAACACTTGAAAATCACTTTCCATTTGTTTGAATTTCTAAAAACAGATATTATAATTTTAGTAATAATGAAAAGCATACATTTCAATATAGAGAAATTATTTGGGCACTTAATTATTAAAGTAAGAAATTCTTAATTAACTCATGAAAATATGAACCATTGGTATTAATCTGCATAATGAATGATAATTGGGGCTGAAAGAGGCAAACAAACCAGAAGTACAATGAATAGAAATTTAGAAGACTATAGGGTATTATAGGTCAATATTTCAGAAGTGAAGGGTTTTTGAGTGATAATAAGGTCTAGTAAAGTCAAAAAAGACAAAGCTTCCCAGCGCACATGTGCATAGAAATTTCTTGAATAAAGTGAGGAAGTATTGAATCTTTAAGATTATTCATCCTGACAATTTCTAGAATCTAACATTATCAAGGGCAAAGTGTAATTTCAAACTGAGAGTGCTATACTTACAGCCTCTAACAAACTTTGATCACTCACAGCTCTGAAAAACAAACCAAAAATATCTATAATCTATTATCCTTTTACATTTTTATTTTTACTTATATAATATACTTACATATTTTCTTTGAAAAAAATTAAGACTACAAACAAGCTTAAAGTACACTTTGACTACCATTCCAAAAATCCAATTCTCTCTCTCGAGATATTATCAGATTGTTGTGTATCTTTTCAGAACTTGCTTGATGCATTCATAAAATTCTACATGTACCTATTCGATTCTATAATTTTTGCTAGTGGGTTAGATGATGGTTTTGTTTTCTTTTTCACATAAATGGCATCAATGTATATATCATCCTAAACTTATTATTTTCACTTAACCCAGTGTCTGAGATCTATTTATATTAATAAATACAGATATCTTTCACTCCTTTTAAGTACCACTTCTTATTCCATAGCAGGATTTGGCAAACTTTTTCTATTAAGAGCCAGATAGGAAATATTTTAGATTTTGCAGGTCAGATGATCGATCGGTCAGTACCCCAGTTCTGCAAAAGCAGCTATAGATGATAGGTAAATGAATGGGTCTGGCTAGATTTAACTCAGGGGCTGCAGTTTGCTGAACACTGCTCTGAGGTATAAGTAAACTATATTTTTGATAAATGAGTTATTTATTATAATCCAAATTTTTTAAGCTTTAGGATATAATTAACATAACATCCAATTCATTTATTTAAAATATATAATTCAATGGGTTTTAATATATTCACCAAGTTGAGCATCTATTTTCACTATTAAATTTTAGAACATTTTAATTACCACAAAAAGAAACCTTGTACCCATTAACAGTCACTCCCCATTCTTCCCAGCACTGCCTCAACACTGGCAGACACTAACCTACTTTTTGTCTCTAGAGATTTGCCTATCCTGGATATTTCATTTAAATAAAAATATATTTTCTTATTTTATTATTGAAAGCTCTTTAGCATAATGTTTTCAAGGTTCAACCATGTTGTAGCATGTATCAGTGCTGTGTTCCTTTTAACTGCCAAATATGATTCCATTGTACAGGTGTATACATTTTATTTATCCATTCATCAGTTTATGGGCATTTATATTGTTTCCATTTGGGGTTATTATGAATAATGCTACTATGAATATCCATGTACAAGTTTTTGCTTATATATGTTTTCAATCACTCAGGTATAAACCCAGGAATAGAATTTCTGGGTCATATGTTGACTTTGTATTTAACATTTTGAAGAACTGACAAACTCGTTTCCATAGCAGACACATCACTTCAATTCCACCAGTAATGTATGAGGGTCCCAATTCCTCTGCATCCTTGCCAACAATCGTTGTTGTCATCTTTTTTTTCCTTATAGCCATCCTAATGGGTGTGAAGTGGTATATCACTGCAGTTTTGATTTGAAATTCCCTAATTACAATGATATTGAATATCATTTCATGTGCTTATTGACCATTGGTATATCTTGCTTCAGAAAATGTCTATTCAGATAATTTGCCCATTTTTAATTTGGGTTATTTATCTTTTTATTATTGAGGCATAAGAGTTCTTTATATATTCTATATACAAGTCCCTTATCAAATATATGATTTGTGAATAGTTCTTGCATTCTGAGTTACCTTTTCACACTCTTGATTTATCATTTGCAGTACAAAAGTTTTTAATTTTATGAAAGTTGACTTATCTATGTTCTTTTCTTTTGTTGGTTGTGCTTTTGGTGTCCTATTTAAGAAGCCATTACCTTACTCAAGGTCACAAAGATTTATTCCTATGTTTCTTCTAAAAGGTTTATAGTTCTAGCTCTTAAATTTAGGTCTTTGGTAATTTTTCAGTTAGTTCTATTGGATAGCATGAAGAAAGGATGCAACTTCATTCTTTCGCATATGGAGATCGAGTTGTCAAAATATCAGTTATTAAAAAGACTATTCTTGGGCGCCTGGGTGGCTCAGTTGGTTAAGCGACTCCCTTCGGCTCGGGTCATGATCCTGGAGTCCCTAGATCGAGTCCCGCATCGGGCTCCCTGCTCGGCAGGGAGACTGTTTCTCCCTCTGACCCTCCCCCATCTCATGTGCTTTCTCTCTCTTTCGTTCTCTCTCTCTCTCAAATAAATAAATAAAATCTTTAAAAAAAAAAAAAAGACTATTCTTTCCACAAATGATATATCCAATAAAAGGTTAATATCCAAAATATATAAAGAATTTACAGAAGTCAACACCAAAAAAACCCACAATCTGATTTTTAAATGGGCAAAGGACATGAATAGACATTTTTCCAAAGACATACACATAGCAAACAGACAAATGAAAAGATACTCAAGATCACTAATCATTGGGGAAATGCACATCAAAACCATGATAAGATATCAAATCCCACCTGCTATAATGGCTAAAATCAAAAACACAAGAAATAAGCGTTGGTAAGGATGTGGAGAAAAAGAAACACTTGTGCACTTTTGATGGGAATACAAAGTGTTGCAGCCACTGTGGAAAACAGTATGGAGGTTCCTTAAAAACAATAAACAATAGCACTACCTTACAAATCCAGTAATCACACTACTAGGAATTTAACCAAAGAATACAAGAACACTAAATTGAAAGGATAGATGCACCCCTATGTTTATTGCAGCCCTATTTACAATAGCCAGACTATGGGCACAGCCAAAATGTCCATCAATAGATGAATTGATAAAGAATATATATAGATATAGATGATATAGATATAGATAGATATACACAAACATTCAATGGAGTATTTATTCAGCCATATGAAGAATGAAATGTTGCTATTTACAACAACATGGATCTAGAGGGTACAATGCTAACTAAAATATGTCAGAGAAAGACAGATATCGTATGATTTCATGCATATGTGGAATTTAAGAAAACAAACAAACAAAGGAAAAAAGGGAGAGAGACAACCCAAGAAACAGACTCCTAAATATAGAGAACAAACTGGTGGTTACCAGAGGAGAGGTGGGTGGGTGGATGGATGAAATAGATAAAAGGGTTTAAGAATACACCAACTAATGTATAGAATTGTTGAATCATATTATACACCTGAAACTAATATGAGACTATTTTAATTATACTTGAATAAAAAATAAAAAAATTTTTTTAAAAAGACTATTCTTTTCTCCACTGAATTGTGTTGGCCTCCCCGTTAAAAAATCAATTGACCATAAATTTAAGGGCTTATTTCTGGACATTCTGTTTTATTCCACTGATGTATATAGGTCTAACGTTATGCAGTACCACATTGTCTTGATTACTACAGCCTTGTATTAAGTTTTAAAATTAGTTAAATGTAAAAAATAATAATCAAAAAATAATTAAATGTGAGTCCTCCAACTTTGTTCTTCTTAAGATTTCTTTGGCTATTCTGGATTCCTTGCATTTGTACATGAATTTTCGGATCAGCTTGTCAGTTCATCAAAAAGAAAGTTGAGATTTTGACAGATTGCATTGAATCTGTAGATCAATTTGAGGAGCACTGCCATTTCAAGATTATTAAATCTAACAGCCCATGAAAATGGAATGTCTATTCATTTAATTAGGTCTTCTTTAAGTTCTTTCAATGTTTTGCAGTTTTCAGTCCACAAATCTTACACTTCTTTTGTTAAATTCTTTCTTGTTGTCTGTGATGTTATTTTAAATTGAATTGTTTTCTTTATTTCATTTGTGGAATGTTCATCACAGTGTACTAGTTTCTTAAGGCTGCTGTGAAAAAAAAATATCACAATCTGGGTAACCAAAATTTATGCTCTTACAGTCCTGGAGACTATAAATCTAAAATTAAGTTGTTAGAGCCATGCTCCCTCTGAAACTTCTAAAGGAGAATCCCTGTTTGCCTCTTCTAGCTTCTAGTAGTCCCTGGTATCCTTTGGATTGTAGTAGCATAAATCTAATCTCTGCCTCCATAACTTCTTCCCTCTTTGTGTACTGTCTTCTCCAATTATTACAAGGATACCAGTCATATTGGAATAAGGACCAATCCTATCCCAGTATGACCTCATCTTAACTAATTACATCTACAATAACCCTATTTGAAAATAAGTTCATTATGAGATACTAGGAGTTAGAGCTTCAACATACCTCTTTGGGGAACACAATTCAACCTGTAACAATTAGTGTATAGAAATACAATTGATTTTTATTTATAAATCTTGTATGCAGCAAAATGTGAATTTACTTATTTCTTCATATATATTTTAGTGGATCCCTTAAGATTTTCTGTATACAAGATCATGACATCTAAAAAAAGGGAGTTTTACTTCTTCCTTTCCAATATGAACACCTTTTTTTAATATTAATATGTTATGTTAATCACCATACATTACATCATTAGTTTTTGATGTAGTGTTCCATGGTTGTTTCCATATAACACCCAGTGCTCCATTCATTACA